TTTTTTTTTTTTAAAAAAAAAAATTCCTTTTTAGTTTCTATCATGTGTTTCTTTATTTCTTATAGGTCCGTTTTGTTTTAAACTAGTATCTCGTGCGATGCACGGATATATAAATGTGGAGAATATTATAATTTGACATCCTCCTATATTCCCCTTATATATTAATCCAGAACACGCTGAGCCTACGTGACTGCTTCTGGTGCTTCGGAATCCTATGTGGCAAAATTACATGCTTCGTTGTAAGGCTTGGGTAAATTTTAATTTAATTTCAAAACAAATATAATTAGGTTCGGATTACCATAAATATGTTGATTATTTATAGTCATGTTACATGTATTAATTGCATTTTAATATCATTCCTTATTATAACTATTGAATTGTATATATATTTTAAAAGTTAATAACTTTTGTATTTCGTATCAGTTTTACATATGTAATATATCAAATTAATCTTCTTTTGATGAGCTTCGATTTAACATCCATATTGTATGTATAAAAAAATAATTTATATTTATTTTTATAACAATAATAAAATTATTTTTAATATTAATTAAAAAAATAAAATTATTTATCAACTAATATATTTATATTTCAAGTAGTTATATGATATAAGTTATAAAAACTAATATAATATAACACATGTAAGTCATAAGTAACACATATCATTCTAAAATATATAGTAATATATATATATATATATTTGTAAAAAAATAAACTAAATTTAATATAGTATTCTCATTAATTTTAAAATTTAAGAATAATTTTTTAACAAGCACCCGTGTAATACACGGGTGTTGTACTAGTGCATTAAGATATAAGAGAGTTTATTACATACGAACATTATTCATCATAAAATATTTGTCACTAAAAAATCTTATATTATTAAAACCTCTTTGTACACAACATATGAGTTTGATTATTGGGTAACTCGTTGTGAGGAGCACATACCGACTTTGGACAGGACGCGGGCTACAAAAAGGGCTGCGAAAATTGGGTCTCACTCAACTGGGCTTCCTTGCTGGGCTTTTCTCCTGGACTGCGGATGCTGATTGTTGTCGCCAAAAAAATTACCTCCCCGCTTGGACAACTTTTCTAATTTTCAACTATATTATAAATTATATTTTATTCCAAGTTTAACTTTTTTCATTCCAATTTTATGTAGATAGTTATTTTACATTCCCATCTACTAATAAAGTATTTTTTTAGTTTGAATCATGTAACTTCATTAATAGCCAGTTGAATAATTTATAGATAGAAACATAATTTAATGATTCTCTCTAATTTCTCTCCTTTCTCCCTTTTTCATATTCCATAGTATTTCACAACTAGTACATACCCCGTGCGATGCACGGGTTATTATCTATATTTTACCTCTTTAATCAACGTTAAATCTAAAAAAACAATAGGGTTATAAGTTTCTTTCCACATCTTTTAACCAACGTTGTTTTTTAGCCTAAACATTAAATATGACCATGTTAGGGCTAGCTTGTAAAATAATTAATATATTATCTCACTAAAACATTTATACTAATAAAAATTTAATTTTAGCATATAAATTTATCCCTTGATATAAGAGAAAGTAACAGTTTTACTTATTCTTGTTCACCGTATAATATTTAATTATTATTTTATTATATAATAAAAAGGAATAATGTTAAATAGTATAGTAGAATTGTTATAAAATTATATGAATTATTTTTTTTTTTACATTATGGATTAATATCTTTTTATGATTTGATAATATAACTATAACATATTCTTAATGATATATTGGTTTATTTTAGTATAACTAGAATGCTGGTTGCAAATAGGAAAAAAAAATCTATTAGATGCAGCCAACATTCTGCTATAAGATAAAGGTTTTCTCGTTAGGATGAGATTTTTTATCCATCATGTTCTTCTACACAATTATTAGATAGATGCAGTCAACATTCTGCTATAAGATAAATGTTTCCTCAGAGCTGGATGCATGTCACATGTCATCTAAACTTTTTGATTTTTTTTTTAGTTTGTTACTTTTAATTATCACAAATTTAACCGCGTGAATTGATTTACAACATACTCTACATTCAAGTTTACAACATACTCTACATTCAATTAAGACTGATTTTTATTTGCTAATGATTTATAAAGTTTGACTATTAATTTGACCAAACATTTTGCTTATTGATTTATAATGTTCGATTATTATTTTGACCAAACAGGAAGGATGAACTTGTTGGATCAGTGTTGTTAATCTAAACAAACATAAAAGTTTTTCAAATTATTTTTTTAGTCTTTATCAGTGTTCGCCTAAACGGCCGTTTAGACCGTTTACACGCTGTTTAAACGGTAAACGGCGCTATGGTGTGCAGTTTAGCGGATAAACGGTAATTAAACGGGCTAGCCGTGTAGACGGAAAAAAACCGTGTAAAATGTGTAAACGGGACGGTATTAAACGGTATTAAACGGCCTAAACGGCCGTTTAGGCCGTTTACACGGTCCGTTTTGGAAATAGAAGCGGTTGGGCGGGAGAACAAAAAATTGATCCGTTTTGTGAGAACTATATATGCGTGCAGTGTGTTACTAACTGTTGTGTTGTAAGATGAACACCTGTGATGTTGACTGTTGTGATGTTATCTGCAATTTGCGTATGGGCTATGGCTATGTCATTGACTCATAAGTCATAATATTAATACTAATGTAGTAAAAAACGTGTAATCCGTTTAATCCCGTGTACACGCCGTGTACACTGTCTAAACACTACACGTGCCCTCGCCGACTGTTTACCGTTTAGCGTTTAGGCTAACACTGGTCTTTATCAGTTTGTAACGTTTTATAAGTGTAGGAAACATTTTCATTATTTTTTATTTATTCCATGATTTTTTGATTCATTACAGCTTTGAACAATCTATGAAAATTATTAAGCCGCCTTCTAGCAAATGTGTATGGAGTTATGTGTTCGTGTATCATAAGTAACAAACATAATGAATAACATCACAAATTATTCATTCAAACTTTTATTCATTGCAAATATGTTATATTAAAATAGTTTATATAACAACCATTAAGTACCACTTTCAATATATTTATAAATAAAAAGTACATAAAATTTCTGGTGTGTTCAAATTTAAATAATTTATTATTTCTCAATTTTAAATCATTCAGACATTTGGTCAAACGCATAGGTGTGTTCAAATTTAAATCATTGGTATTTTGTTTGGTTGAAATTTAAATCATCTACCATGGTATTGTGATGTATATAATATATATACATATATATATATATATATTATATATATATATATATATTATATACATTTTTTTAATATGTGCTTTATAAAAATAATAATAATAATTTCACAAGATTTTAAACGTAAAATCTGGTTTTTAATCACAATAGAAATATCATGGTAAGTTGTATTGAAAATGTGTTATGGGATAAAACAATTAAATAAAATAATTAAATAAAATACTTGATGAAAATAGAATGCATTAATTACTTTTGACTTTTCTTACTACTAATTCTAGTAACGGGATGTTTTTTTTATATAAGTATAGATTTTCTCAAAAAAAAAAAACAAAAAGTTACATACAACAATTATTAGGTTGACCATCAAATAAATAAAAATAAGACAGTAAATAAACGCAAACTTTTCCTTAATAATTTATATATTTTTTTAAAAAAAAAATAATAATTTCAATGTTTCAAGTTCAACACAAAATCGGTTTGATTATTTTTCTATTAATTGTTTATGAATTGGCTATCTATCTTAATTTTTGTTCAAAGTTGGTTTATTTTTTATTTTTATCATCAGATATATCATGTTAGTCATCATTGGACATAAGCTCATATGATATGATGATAAATATGCATTTAGATTTTAACATATGCAATATAAATGTAAAAAATACAGAGAATATACTAACGCTAAATTTAGTTTATTGGAAAAGTGCACAACAATTAGAAAAATGGGATTTTCTAAATTAAATCTTCAGGATAAATGCATTGCCAAATCATAAATTTCCGCAAGCAAGGAGTTTGCTCTAATATATTATTTGAGATTTCAGTGCCGATGGCCATTTTGACGACGTTCGACTCCTCGGCAACTGGGATTTCAAACTCGACATAATTTACGAAAAATATATTTTTTAGAGGCTCGGGAATTTACCCAAAAAAAGGGGGGATTTGGCTCAAAAATTGAACAACAACTCAAGGCACGACTAACGCCGGATTTCCGAAATAAGTTCAGCGCCCATAAATTCAAACGACGATCTCGACATGGTAAAAAAGCTTGGATTTTCAATTAGGCTTAAAACAGAAAATAAAGGCTCGGGTATGTGATAAGAATTCATAATATTATTGTTTTCAAGTGATAAGAATGTCAAATTTTGTTACATCTTTTGGGCGAAAATCCAGGCGTATATATTCCATATTTACTACCAAATCTTTTTACCAAAAAATCTGATACAAATTATTGTAAAAAAATCTAGTAGTATTAAATCTTTATACCAAAAAATCTGATACGAATTATTGTAAAAAATATTGTCCAATTTTAACTGAAATCGGGTATGTGTATGTGGTTAGATGGTTATATTATCATAAGTTTTCAAAAAAATTCTTTTATGAATAAGTCAAAATCGGTATGTATATGTGGTGATATCATATGGATTTATGGATACGACTTTTGATGGGTCTACTCTCA